CCCTTCAAAAAAATATTCTCAACTCTTTCAGCAGTGTTGTGGAAACTTATCATTCGGCCACTATCAATGTTGAAAATATCTTAGTTTTTAACCATGCAATGCTCGGGAAATTTGAGTTATCAAATGAATTTGAACTTTGGCAATCCGAAAGAGAAAACTTAATAATTTGTCATCAGCTCAATATATGACAGAAAACTGTTTTTCCTCATCACTTATCTTGATCTATCTCCAATCTCCACTTCCCAGCCCAAACAAGTAAAATAACATAACCTATATCATGAAAAGGGGCCACAATATAGATTTTGTGGCGGCTTCAATCACTATAACTTAATACCTCAAAGAGCCAGTGGAATTGCCTCACAGCATCAGCAGTACCTTGAAACCACTTTTTACCTGCCTCCCCAGGAGTTTGGGTTGCCGCAAGAACCTGAAGTAGAACGTACACTCTTAGATAATCTTCACGAGTATTTTCTGAATATTGTTAAGAACTTAACACAACTGTTTTTAAGCCACACACAAGCTGACTTAAAATGCAAGCAAGTAAAAGATGGGAAATGGGAGATACCTCTACGTAGCCATCTCCAAAGGTGACTCCACTACCAGAGTTGTAAGCACGTGCAATGTGCCTGTTGAGTGAGGCTGAATTAAACTGAGTGAGAATGTACACCTTGTTGATACCACTGTTGATGCAATTACTCATTGGCACATCAATCAGCCTATAAGCGCCTCCAATAGGAACCTAACATAGCAAACCCCACAGCAGAAGATGGCTAAATTCATATGTTACTGCATAATATTATGCGGTTTAAGTGCATTATAAACCCGGATACAGATTATAAGCACTTTAAGAGCTTTTTTCTATTTATTAAAAATAAAGAATATTTTTCACTAAAGAAACTTTAAAAAATATTTTTAAATTTATATTCAAAAAGACTCTATAGCATGGATTATGATATCCCACTAGATGCATTTTTCATTTTCTTATTGCCCAAGGTATTAAAAGTAAACAGTAGTTATAGCAAAATTCCTGATCACAAAAGCAAAAATTTTAGAGGGTAACCAAGTTATAGGCAGCATTATGTCGATAATTGTTAGAATAACTAAGAAAATGGTAAAATAAAAAAAAAAAAAAAAAAAAAACTTACAGCAGGTTTGGCTCGTCGCTTAGTGAGAGGAAAGAGACGAGTTCCAGCTCCTCCACCTAATATAATTGCTATTACTGTCCTTGCGTTCCTTCTTTCCATATCTAGGTCTCTCAACTGCACTACCCCATATTCCCATTCATCATGTCGAAAACTGAATAATGTTGCATACACTACCTCTCACAAATTATTCATAACCCGACATGCCTGCATTCAATTTAACTGGTATTGCTTGAAATCTATATTTCTTTATTTGAGAAATTCATATGGAATCACGTGAACATTGGTTTTTTTACAAATTTTTGCATATCTTAAATATCACTATACTTGAAAACTTTTAATCTGTGGCCATCAAAATGGGTAAAAAAGGTTTTGGTTTTATTTCCATATTAATCAAAATGGGATAAAAAAATAAAAGAAGAAGAAGATAAATGAGCCCGTTAGAATGCTAATGTGGTGGACCTAAGTAGCCTACCATTAAAGCATGGCTCACAAACACAATATTTTAAAAAGTGGCTTCAATTTAATAAATACTTTGTTTCTGACAAAGTAAGCCGGTGGTTATGTTGTATATGAATATGAATAATGAACTGATGGTCAAAACAAGAAGCCAAAAAAAACCTTTGGCAGAGACATACTATTTTTTTAATAAAATAAGAATTAAAACAAGAAATATCCTTATTGCAACATTCAACCTATTGCAGCAAATAACAAGATTGTAAGACATGTTTGAAGTTTGGTCTTTTGTTTGTCTGTTTGTTGTCTGAGTGCAAGAGTGTGGTAAACCTTAGATTGTGTGGAGACGTCAGCGGTGAGAGACATGCATATATGTTGTTGCCGCCTGACATGAAGATGCTTAGTAGCAGTTTTTAAGTGAAGCTTACGTCCCATGAGTTCCCCATTACAAAACTTTACAAGCCTCCAATTCTTACAGGCCACTCCTTGTAACTGAACCGTTGACGAGAGTGTTATCTGGCCACCGCCAGAGACTGCCATTTTCTAAGGGAGAGAGAATGGGAATTTATGAATTACTGATCTGAACCTGGTCTTGTGTCTCTACACTAGAAGCAGAGGTAGAGAGCAACGACCTTTGTGTATAGTGTGTAGTTTTGATTAATTACATGCATATCCGGGTATTTTGGAGGATTGGGCCACGTTATCCAAATTCAACTGCATCCACCGATTTGGTTTCTGTTTGTTATTATTACAAATACAAAATAAGCACACATGTCAAATGACACTTTAGACCTTCCAATTAACGAATATTCCATGGGATTTGGATACCTCTTTGCTAGAGCTCTGCTTCTGTCCACACAAGCTTCCAACTTCAAATTTGGTTTTCATTGGTTTCCATGTCTTTTACCACAATAATTTGATTTTTGCTTTCCCTTTTATTAAGGAACACTTTAGAGATAGAGAAAACAGTTTCCATGAGGCTTTATACCCAAAAGGCCTCATGATCATAGGAGATTCTGAGAATAAAGCTGCGTTTCTAGACGGAGGAACTCTGCTTCCTTTCATCACTTCCGGCTATACAAATAATACTTTGCTTTCCAACAATTAATAAATAATCAGTAAAGTACAATTTAATCTTTTAACTTTCTGAGACTAGAAAAATGATAAATAGAATATTTGTTAGTCACTGCCGCTACATTAAGATTTGACACATTATGTGCCACACTCACAGTTACATGAAATGATTAACTAACTTGGTGAAATTAAATTTGTTAACAACTCCTATTATTTTCTAAAATTACATTTAAAATTATTGTAATCAACATATCTCTTTTTTACCTGATTAATTAATGTGTGTTTATCGATCCTCACTACTCACAAGAGAGAGAATACATTATCTTACTAATTTATAACATTATTCTTTTTCAACTTTGAAAATTTTAAAGTAATTAAGGATATTTTAACATAAAAAAATTAATACAGGAGGCAACTTGAAAGGAGTCCTATTAAAAGTTATAAAAGAAAAACTTATATATTATGATTATAACGAAGATAGTATATCACGATAAATATATATATTCATTGTCTCATGTTATTGTTCAAATAACACATTGCATGCTCCAACAGTCAAACTCCTATCTTCATACTAGTGGAAAAAGTTTTTTTTTTTTCTTTTTTTTTCATTTATATTAGATGACTCTTTTATATAAAGATATATGTAAAAACAAAGTCGTAAAGGGTAGTGGGCTGAAAGGAAATGGGCCTACCCGGCCCGATTCAGTTTTGAACTGAAACCCCCCAAAAAAATAGAGGAGGGAATAAAGTTAGGGTTTATAGATTACTCCCGAAGCTGGAGTAGGGTCGTTCCCACTTCCCAGCACCCCTTTTCCATTGACAGAGAGATCCAATCGTGTAAATCAATAAAAAAGTCGATCGGGTGCTAAGGTACCATGCTCTTCTTAATTTCTTTAACATTTATGCTTCTTAGCTTCTTCAACTGTCATCACAAAATCTCTGAGGGTGATCAAAAAATAACTTCCGAGCTGAACTCAAGCCTCTCTGTCTTGGTTCCCAGTTTCTTAGTTGTATCAATTCATCATTTGATCGGTATGTTTTCTCTTATTTCAGTTTTAAGTATACTTGAAGAGTTTTTCAACTGCACTTTCCTTTTAAAATGAGGTATTGCTTCTTACTCTTTACCTGCTCAATTCTTTTTTGTATTATTCTTGTTTTATTATTGAATATTTCGCCTTTTTTTCCTTAGTACTGATACTTTTTGTTTTCTTTCCCTACTTTCTC